GAATGAGAGTCCCTGAAACAGCTTATAACTTGACAGCTAAGAAGGGTTTCTGGAATGTAGGTTTGAGTCCACCAGGGGCCAGCAGTAGTTGAGCCAGGGGAATGAGTGATGCTGAAAGGAGGAACTGGCACCCCAGGCGGGAAAGAAAGTGCCCAAATTCTGTTCAGAGCTTTGAAGGAAACCCTATTCATTGCTTCATCTTCAAAAGGAAGCAGCGGCACAGGTAGCTCCAGGGAACAGGGCAGGGCTGTCTGCCCTGAAAACCCCTCACTGCAGCCCCAGCGAAGGGTACCCAGCCCAGGGACAGGCTGGGTGGCACCATCCCCAGGGCATAGGCAGATCCCCACTCACATACACCTTCTTGGGCACCCCATGCCCTGCAGGCACTTGGCATCTGGATCATGTTAGCATGGCAAGATGCCTTCTGCCGTTTCTTGGCTTGACCATGGCTCCTATCATTACCTTTACAAGGGTATCAGCTAATTCACCACGTACTCTTGTTTCAATGGATTTATGATAACAGTTTGTGATAGGCAAACTAACAGACACTCAGGTTGCTAGGAAGCATTGGAGCAAAAAAATTATTATTAGCCTCATGCTAATAATAAACTGGAGATAAATTTGTTTTTATTTGGTCAGCAACAAGCTCCAGAATAGGAAGATTCTGAAGTGCAGCCAGCCTAGGTCAAAAAGGGGCCCAGGCGACATCCTGAACTCCCATCAGCCTCGGGATTTGCAAACTCCAGTTAGCCTCTCTGAAACTCTTCAGGATAATATAGAGGGAAGAAGCTGAAACAGCAGGCCTGTGTAACTCGTGCTTTCATGTTTCCTTCAAACTACTAATTTTCCACTGAAACAACTAGAAGACAGCTCATGTTGAGATGTCTTCTTTCAATGTAGAGTGAACAACTATCACTATATTAAACTGCAGGATACAGACCATTGTCAGAAAACAAATCAGAATAATCCTGTAGAGGAACACTTGGGCTACTTCAACACACATACCTTGAAAGAGGTATGAGAGGCTCGAAGCTGGAGGTCCTAGCTAAGAAGAGGGAACCATACTGGCAAGCTGTTTCTACCAATGAACACTATTGTAGGTGCCTCCCTTGTCTCAAAGCACAATGCTGTCTGGCATAAATCATAAGCTAGGAGACAAACACAAGGAAGAGATTTCAAATTTGAAGTAAACTTCTATATACATCCCAGAAGAAAGTTGTTAGCTGTTCTGGTAGAGGGAACATGGAGTTTGGCACAGGAAAGCCATTTCTCAAGTCCTTTTTGTCTTGTTTTTTTGGTGCTCTGATGAGAGAGAGTATTCAAGCATGAGAAGACCACATATTGCAACAGCTTGTAACACAATGAAACTTACTTGCATAAGTCCAAAAGACTGCAATTAGTCAGAGAAGCTCTTTAAAGTTAAGATACAGGATGTAGTAAATATGTATATTTACTTCTATTGTTTTTTCATTACTTAAATTGTCCTACAGAAAACTTCAAGCTAACTGTCTATCTACACTGTTCACATTGTGGATTCTTGAAAATAAACAGACTTTTCTGTGAATAAAGTGTCCCCAAGTAGTTGATTCTTTAAACAGTAGGAGCCATGAAGACATATCAATGAAGAGGCCACTTTAGCTCCTAGTAATTCTCTCAAGGCAAGAAACACAGAAGGCCACATATGTTGAGAGGTATTTTTCCACACTCACATTCTCCAGGAGCTAAGCCTGTTTAAAGATTCCCTGTCCATCAATCTCATAGAACCATAGCACAGCTCAGGTTGGAAGAGACCTCAGATCATCTGATTCAACCTTTCACGGGAAAGGAAGCCTAGATGAGATCATCTAGCACCATGTCCAATTGCATCTTGAAAACTTCAAATGATGGGGACTTTACCAAATCCATGGGGAAGGTTGTTGCAGTGATTGTTCTCACTGTAAAAAATTTCTGTCTTCTGTCAAGATGAAATCTCTCCCAGTGCAACCTATACCCATTGCCCCTTGTGTTCTTCATGTTGCCTCTTTTGAAGAGAGAGCCTCTGTCGTCTGTAGCTGTCCTTTAAGTGCCAATGAGATCCCCCCACCAAGCCTGCTCTTTTCCAGGGAGAAAAGACTAAATGCCTTCAGTCTTTCCTCATAGGGCAGGTTCTGCAGCCCTTTGATGATATTCACATCCTTGCATTGGACCTTCTCCAGCTTGTCTGCAACTTTGTTGTTCTGTGGGGATTAGAAGTGGACACTGTACACAGTTAACTCCTTCAGCTTTCTCTTCTGATAGAGGAACTGCAAAGTTGAACTGTATCTGAGCCTTGTTTTTTACTTACTGGAGGTGCCAAAATCTAAAGGCCGATGACCTCAGATCTTGAGTATGTCCATGGAAGGGCTGAAGTGCTGTGGAGCACTGCAGTCCCACACATCTTTGCCTGCTTTCTTTTCCCTCCTCTCTAATACCCACTGATTAGTTCACTTATTTAAGATGCGGGGGTCTATGT